AGAGAGAGACGGTGAGCAGACGTGGGACACACTCAAATACACTTGGCTGAGAGGAAGAGGAGGAGTGTGCTGGGGAGAGAGGAGGACAACAGCTGTGAGAAAGTGCAAGTGAGTCAAAGGGAGAAAAGGGAAGTATGGGCGGGGCGTCTTATGACTCGAGCCACAGTTCTAAACTCGGACACAAATGATTCTGCTACAGCCGGGACATTAAAAAAAGGACTTGAGACTGAAAGGTTCAAATCACTGGGTGCAGCAACGTGGCTGCATGATAGGTTGTGTCTAAAGGCGAAATCCACCGTTAATACTTTCCATATACAAAACTTCATTATTAAGAAGTCACAGTAGTATTTTCTAAACATTGTTATTAACAGAAAGAAGCCTCGCTTGTGTGGGACATGCAGCAATGTCCGATATCATTATTAAATGATATGATAATGTTTTGGCCAATTGGACCCACACATCGATGTTATGACACAGTTGAAGTATTTCCAGGTGGATTTTCCTTTCAAGAACTGGCTCAAGTGACATAAGGGCAGATTTCAGGAAGAAGCAGAGTAGAAGAGGAGGAGGAGGAGGAGGAGGAGAGGCACTAAGGTGGCAGCAGACGAGAGGAGGAAGAGGTTAGTAAACTAGAAAAGGCTGCAGGGGTTAGGCAGCTCCTCTCCTGTCATTTGTACCATTCTTACCTCGTAGACCTGCCACATGAAGCGAAGCGGAGGAAGGCAGGGAGACAAAACAGCACATGTTCATATGGGTCTGGGTGTGTTAATGTGTTATGGAGGGACAGGGATTAAACTAGAGGCCCCTACGACACCAGAGCTGGTTGTATGTGACTCTGCGGCAGCTGCAAACTAATTCTACATCACAACCACCATGAAATGTCTTTCATGATCCATTATATACACGACACACACACACAGCCCCTATACACTGCATATCACAGTGTGTGAGGGGCACCTGCATCCAGGAGCCCTTTGTGGGGTCTCAGCTACACAAACACTGACAGCTGGAACCACACACACACACACACACACCTAGGAGGGTCATTTATTATCACTGTGACCTAAAGCAGGAAACTCCCAGGAAACACTGCTTCTCCTAAACATTCATCAGGATCAGATAGAAACAACCAGCTAACACCTCAGTCTACAGGCTGACGGAGAGGAAACGTACGTCATCATCTCTCACTTGTCCTCCGGTGCACAAAAAAGTCTTTCAACGACAAAAAGGGAAAAGTTCACATGTTTGAAAGTTGTAAGTGTTGAAGATGTTTAGTTGTAGAGTCAAAAAAGATGACATGAGGACTACACACTTTCCAATTAACACTGATTTGGTCATTTGCAGGTTAAAAGAAGACAAAACAAAACTTTTAATCCACTTTTAACCAAAATGTAAATTTATTTTTTACCTGCAAATCACCAAATCAGTCTAAACTTGATATTCTATGGAAATCCTAAATGTTTTCACCTTTTCTCCAGTGAAAGACGTCTGAAGGGAAAGAAAACCCAAACATGAAAATACACAGAGACAATAAACCAACACGAGTCCAAGCTGCGTCTTACAAACTCATCACATCTCACAGGTCGTCATTGTTCTGACGTCTTACCCAGTTCTTCTTGTTCTTCTTCTTGTTCTTTGCGTCAGCGTCCATGTTGGAGCCCACACTGGAATGACTGGTTGCGCTGGCGATGCTGCTGACGCTGTCAGACGAGTGCTGCCTCCTGATGCGCAGGTCTGGCTGCTGCTGCTGCTGCTGCTGCTGCTGCTGCTGCTGTGGACTGCCGTTGCTGCTGCCTGAGGAGAGGAAATGTGTTTGTCTATGAATTGAACTATGTCTTTAATTTATTATCAGACACTCTGGAGACACGTCGTCCATCTTTATTTACAGTCTATGGTTCATTAAAGTATAAATTTTTTATGTGGGCATAAAAGTCAAATTAAAAACATCAGCTTTGACCTCACATATCTGTGCTTTGTGTGTCTCTACCTGTTCTGTCCCCTCGAGGCGTGAGTTCAGGTGTGTTGATGACTCCGTTGATGGCCGCCTGAGCAACGGCGTTCTGCTTCTTCAGCAGCTCAATGGTCTTCCTCAGCTCATTCAGCTCAGAGTCCTGCACAGAGACGAGGACAAAGAGGGTCACGTCTCAACTGCAGCGAGTTTGATTAACGTCACAGTCAGTTTATAAAACCGCAGGAGCTTTGTCTCACCTTCTGCTCTGCCGTCAAGGTGAGACTCTTCAGTCTGATGGTCATGTTGCCCAGACTCTGTTCAAACGCTGCCACCAGGTGAGCCTGCAGAAACACACAGAAGGTCAGGATGCGCAACGTAGCATAGAGCCGGGAGAACCAGATCAAATTCGGTTTTATTTGTACAGCACCATTTAACATTAACATTATCTCAAGGCACTTCACATTGTCAGGTCTTAAACTCATTTCCAACTGCACCATGAACACAAAAAATTTAATTTCTCCTAAATAAATGTAAAGATGTATTTTAGATAATAATCTTCTCCATTGCACAATAATCATCCAAATATCAAATAAACTGCATTTAGGCTCCTACAGTCGCACACGCGAGAGAAACACATCAACCTTCTGACAAAGTGAGGAACACAACATGATTTACTTCTGGTCAGGTTGATTGGATCAATAAAAATGAGCAGGTTTAAAATAAACATATCACATGTCAGAGGAATGTGTATGTGTGTGTGTGTGTGTGTGTGTGTGTGTGTGTGTGTGTGTGTATGTGTGTGTGTGTGTGTGTG